TAGCAATTATAGTATCATAACAATCAAAGGGTTCGGTTCTCAATTTTCGCCCTAGGCAATGTTTGGTAACATGTTATTAATAGAATTAACAATAAATATAATTTAAATCCTGCCAAAAAAAATTTAATTTAAATTCAACATTCCGTTAAATCAAATTTGTGCGTGTTATATCATTTTATTTTCGTGTCCCGTTATTTCCCTCACATAAACAAGACAGATTTATTCCGTCGTCGCCGATGAGCTCCGATGTCGCACATGCAATTCATTAAATCCAGATTTATTGATTTCATATATCCTACCTAGCATAAATATAAGGTGCAACCAAACAACGCCGTATATTAGTATCATTGTGCTAAAAAAATTGAAACAACTAGATAATTTAAAAGCTCTTCAACCCAACTTGGCCACTATTAATTCTACAATGGGTCCCATAAATCAAGGTGTGACAATATATGTGGAGAGCTTTGTTTCATTCTTCTAAAGAGATAAAATGTCATTTCATTCATGCATAAGATCTTCTCCTAAACCAAAGTTCTATTAGTGCATGTACCTATTCATTTCATTAACATTAATACAATTTCACATAGATTGACCAAAATTTCATTGACATGATTATTTTACTCATAGTCCAAAAGGGTTAATATATATCATTCTACCTAGATAATATGGCTACCAAAGCTATTTGTGCCAAATATGTCTTTGGCTAAAATGAGAAAATTATATAGTCTCCATTAAGCATAAAATAAAATCAATAAACAAAATCATCCTGCAGAAATCACATAGAATATTAACATAAGTAGTGCGGTTATTATCTTTTCATTTCGCCTTTACCTACTATGGAATTAAGGGTGTCAATAAATCACTCATTCAAATTTAACTCAAAAAATTTGGATTTGACTTGAATCGATTAATGCGGGTCATGTTTGAGTTAATTTAGAATTGTTCTGAATAACCCAAAGTTGCCCTAATTACTAATTAGGTCTGAGTTAAGTGAATTTGGATCGGGTTAATTGTGTCAAGTTGGCCATATTCATGTTAATTAAATCGTTCTGATAAAAAAAAACATTATAGTCTATCTAATAAATGGGTTAGAAATGTCAAGCTTATTCAAATCAATCAACTTAAATGGATCATGATTGAACCTAACCCATCAATTCGAATTGACACAATTATATAGAACATGAATACAATTTTACTATTCATATATTACCCCCTGTTACAAATTAATAGATAAATACAATTGCATGAGTTAAATTTTATGGCTCAACATGATATCTATTAGAGGATTCAATGCATAATCGGAAAAGCAACATATATGAAGGTCATGTTATTAATTATATTATGCCTTCTGTTAGCGCATACATTCATACTCAAATAAGTACCCCAAGTTATACATTCATACCCAAACAAGTATTCCTAGTTATTGTGCCGCCTATCATTACTCTTTGGTTGACACATTTTGTTATACTCCTGAAATCAAGGGTTCGATCCCGCCTATGTGCAAGATGAAATTCTTAGGCACATGAGATTGACCAGTAGGCTCGTATAAAAAGTCTTTGGCCAATCATTTTGTTTTATAAAAAAAAGGTACTCCAAGTTATCAATTCATGATAATACAAACTCGATGATTGTTTGGATGAGAATATGTACGCCGTGAACATTTGTAATACCCTCACGCAAATGATATAGAATGGTTTTCAACAAACACTAACACGAAACAATAACAGAACAGCGTACATAACTTACCTTCAAATCTTATTCAATTAAATAGCGCCAAAGATCAAATCATGCTGCCTTCTTATTAATGGTCATTTCAACAAACACTAACACGAAACAATAACAGAACAGCGTACATAACTTACCTTCAAATCTTATTCAATTAAATAGCGCCAAAGATCAAATCATGCTGCCTTCTTATTAATGGTCATTTCAACAAACACTAACACGAAACAATAACAGAACAGCGTACATAACTTACCTTCAAATCTTATTCAATTAAATAGCGCCAAAGATCAAATCATGCTGCCTTCTTATTATTCATTACATAAAAACATAACCATATATAAAATCATATAAATATAAATGATCCTCAGGCAACATTGATGATATTAGTCTATCCAGAACGAACTTTGACCCCACAGTATGGGTCTCCATGCTCCGGCTTTCCTGCACGTCCCTTGCTAATACAGAAACCGTTGCATAAATTACTGCAGCTGGGTGGGGTAACCTCTTTGGAATCAATACTCATGCATAACCTGAAGCAATTACAGTAACATTTATCAGCAGCATCAACGCTTCTCAGGGAAGCAAAGGAGAAAACCAGAGAGATTAGGAGCACTAAGCCGAGCTGCTTGTTATAAGCCATCTTAATCTTTTTTGTTAATTACTTAATTAATCTGCTTAGTGTTGCTTTTTGCGGGAGTTTTAGCCTAGTATTTATATGTTTGTGAAAGGCTGAAGATGGAAATTTGCTGTTAGATATTGGTTGCTGTGAAGATGAAGGGGTTGGAGAGGAAGAAGAGCGGAGAGGAGTTTGGAAGAGTGGAGGGAATGTTTAATTTGTTATTTGTTTTTTGGTTCCTATTTTTTTGTTGTTTTATGGTTATGGCTGGTGAAAATCTGTTTAGTTTAGCTTCAAATGGTGAGTTTATAACAGTCATTGTTTAGGAATTAGAGGGTGATGTAAAGCTTGCAGGTTTATAAGTTGGCCAAACTAAACGGATCTATTTAGTTGGGAACAAGTTTTGGAGAAATGGAGACATGAAGAGAGGGAGTTGTAGTTCAGGAAAGATGATTGGTTGTGGATGTTTTGGATTAAATTTGGGCCATAATGCAAAATATGCTATCTTAACCTACAAAATATTTCCATCTAGTTGTAATTTTTTGTTTTTTTTGTTTTTGGTGTTTTGCTATATAAGACTAGGGAGGGTTACTTGGAACAAATGCTTCTCATTACAACAATGCTTAAGCATAGCAATCAGGTATCTTGAATAAATTCAACTTGGATATTCTGAGTTCATTTTTTTTTATAATATATCGTAGATAACGGCAAAGACCGCCCGTGAATATTGTCCAATCACCATTTTCCTATTACTATTGTTCTTCCATCACAATTCTTCGATCGAATGTGTCATTTATAAACCGAAGTCATCCGACCATCATTATCTAATCACTGCATCTAATCGACATTACCTTTCAATTTCACCTACACTACTTCTATCACAATCATGAATGGAACTAGAGTTGAGTCCAAATAGAAGGAAGAGCAAATAGGTATAGTCTCAGCAAATATTATAGATTATTTCTTTTAGGATGGCACTATGAGTTTTACTTTTTTTTTTTTGGATTTTTTCACGCATGTGTGTTGACACGTGTGCATTTGTGTATTATAATAATATTTTTAGGAAAGAAAATTTTTTTAGACTAAAGATTTTAAAAGATTACATTACTAGGATCGATTGTTTTAATTGCAAAACACCTTTCAAATGTAATGAATATCATAATGATTCAAAAGCTATTTCTTATGCAGCGATCAAATGGGGGAAATTATTACGTTTTATAAATCGGGCGTGGTGTGACACGACATGATATGATTCACGCCGTTCTTCGCACTTCCGGACAATAAACGTAAATTTTTTTCAACCACATGCGCCATACTTGGAAAATTCGATACATTTACACAGATAATTGTATTTTCCTTGCAATTCTTAGATTAGACCAAAACAAATTGGGAGGGGTATTTACATTAAAAATTATTTATTTTTCTATTTTAAGTTATTGATTGTGAAAACAAAATTATTATAATTAGTGTATGAGAAAATATGCAAATATCCAAACACCGTCTCATGAACAAAAAAATTTTACATACCGAGTCCAGCTCAGTGTCCAGACTCCAATAAAATCTTGCCAAGTGTATCTGACTGAACCCACCTAAAAAATGACGAAAAGAGTCCAATAACACCGCGATGTTATTTGCGTTGTCCTCCGGGCGGTGTTATTGACGCTATTCACGAGTGTTATCGCAGTATTATTGTTGTGTTATTGAAGTTGTTTTGCTAAGGTTATTGGGATGTTACCTCGATGTTATTTGTGTGGTCCTCTGAATGCTCTCATTGGAGTTGATCACCGGTATTATAACAGTGTTATTGTGGTATTATTCAAATTATTTTGCGGGATTATTGAAACGAAACTGCGGTACCAGTGTTATTGTGATATTATTGTCGTGCTATTAGAATTGTTTTGTAATAACACCACAATAAGTGTTTTTCCATCATTTATCAGGTGGGTCCAATCATATACACGTGACAACATTTTATTGGAGTTCGGATACAGATCAGAAAAAAAATTGCATAACTAACTTCCGCTTAAAAGCCGACCACCTCGCTCGCCTTCTCTGTATTGCACTAAATTCAATCATGAACAAAAAAAAAAAAAAATCTTTTACAATACTTCGAAGCTTGCAGAAAGAACATATGTTTAAAAATTAACGATTTAATTTTTTAAACCCAGATTAGATCACCTGCAGCATACGGACAACTTCAATCATACCAACAGAGGTGCGACTATAAACAATGGCTTGCATATAGTTGCACGGGCCAATTTATTTATTTACATATTTTTATTCCATGGAACTCCCACATACTTCATCAAATTTAAGTTTTTTTTTGGGGGAGAAATTTCATTTTTCTCTGACCATACAAATGCATATAATCAGTTTCGTACCATACATAACAGAAGTTTTCTAAAAATATTAGAAATTAATAATTGAAATAAATCAAGCAAATGTTTCTAAAATATCTGTCATCACACGAACATTGATAAATGTTGCAACAAAAAATACAAAACAAGTGCTCAAATGTGTAACGCATTAGTTAATAATAAAATTAAAAATTATAAAATATTACTCTGCCTGAAAAGAATGAATATATATATATATATATATATATGACGCATCCACTTATCAAGAGATTCATTAAAAATTAGACCAGATTAAACTGCCAAAATCTTTGTATTGAAGTCTTCTCACAGAATACACTTTGCCACACATCAAATCTACACAGGCGGAAAGGTTTCTAAATTATTATTCAATATTCGTGTATACATCTTCATTTTCATTTTATTTTATTTTATTTTTCTACGTACAGAAGAGAAAATGATGAGAAAATCAAGCTCGCAAAAGGAGCTCGTAGCAATTGCTATTATTTTGGCCGCTGATTCGCTTCAGTGCCTCAAAATGCCTCCTGCTGCCTAAAAAATCTAACCGTCGGAACAGCACAAAACCCTGCTCTATAGCTTCTTTGCTGGCATAAAGGGATCGAAGCCTGTCAGCATGTCTGGAGTCAGTGTGTATTGCTACTTTTATCTCATCAGCAGACATGTTCTCCTGCAAAATGAGAAGGGACAGCATGTATAGGTCTTAATAATTTGTACAGCTACACACAATGACATAGATTTTTGTTTAATTTTAATTCTTTTATCAGTATAATTGAATCTTAACAAAAAAGGTATAGCTGTTAGGTGTTTAAAATGCATAGAAATTAGATGCTTTTATGTGTAAATGTTATTGGAAGGTTTTATATACATACCACTCAATTCTCAATTATTTACATATCTAACACCTAAACTTCAACTCTTACATATATGCCGGCCCAATCATGCATAAAAAGATGAAATTCATTTTTTAAAAGTTAAAATAGTGATATTTTTTTTTGTGATGAAAGATTTGGGTGATATATCTAACGACTGCTATTATAGTATACTAGTGCACATGTTAAGACCTAATTTTGGATTTGATAAATCTTGCATGTTTATTTTATGCTTATCTTTTTTTAAGAGTTAATTTGATACTCAAATTATTCGATTTTTAGTAGTTTTATTTCATGTTGATTTATAAAAATTTTTGCCAGATTTTAGAGTACACTTCATTTTATTTTGGGCATTATTTTATCCATTTTTATGGGTATCATAAGTACAAAAATAAAAATTATCGTTGGATTTTTCTTTCTTAAGAAATTTGATACATTTTACATAAATAAACTTTCTGTAACAATCCTATGTATGTTTTGCATACTACTCTCATCAATATGTTCTAGACATATTTTTCTGTTTTTTAACTATTTTTTTCAAAATTTTTAGAGTTATATATTCCAATATGTAAATAAATTTATATAAAGTTTATATATAAAAGTATAACAAATCAAAAAATTACCATTATATTCATTTTCTTTAAAAAAAATCAAATATTTTATATAAATAGCATAAACCACTTACAGAAAGCATTGCATGCCCTCTTTTCCTCTAACCCATGAGTTATAGAAAGAGAGGAAGAGGATTTCTAGAGATAGAAAGTTGGATTTGGGGGCCATAGAGCCTATTTCGTCCATCAGGTCAATTGGGAAAATTGTATGGCTTTAGATAGGCTACTGTTAACCTACTTCAGTTTTCAATTTTGTTATTTATTTCGTAAAATTTTGATATTTTATACAAACTCAAATTTACGGAGATTTACAAACTTTTCACCACACAAATTTTTATATGTTGTATAATTAACCGTGCTGGATATATTGACATAAAAATATTTTTTTTTGTTGGAATTTTGTGTTTTATGATTTTTTGTATATTTTGGCACGTGTGTTAACTTGATAAGTTTACTGCAAAATAAGAAGTGTTTTAAATATTATTCTGGAAATTCCATATAAGTGATTTGCAATTGTGTTTATCGATATATGTAAATTTATTTCTCCCGCAAATTATATTATTACTTGTGTCTACTGGTTTGTACCACTTTTATAGCATATAGCGAAATTTAATATAACAAAATTGTTAGTATTTATATGATATTGTATCATAAATATATCTAAAATTGATAAAAATGATAGAGTTACAGGTGGTTGTGGTTGGTCGGTTATGTGTTATGTGCAATCAATTAAAGTTATACATAATTTTGCACCTATATAATTATTTATTTGTGTGTTTGATACGGCTGAACAGATGTGATGTGGGATATAAGTGGAAGTCAAGTTATGAAGAACATAGAAAAATATATGAACAAGTGGAGATATAAGTAGAAGTGAAGGTATACGTGTAAGTGGAGATATAAAGAGATAAACATAAAATTTTAAAATAATTCAAATAAAGAATTGATATTTGATTTTCATGTTATTTTCCTCACTAATGATATCATGTTGTTTGTACTGCTACTCTGATGTGTCTACTACAGTCATAATTTATTCTACTAATACTATAATAGATATTATACATGACGTTCCTCCATGTTCAATTTAATTTCTTTGAATAAATGTCTATTATTTTTTTAGTGAAAACTACGGTAGATTTTGAGTTGCATAATGAGCTGTAGTTGTTCACCCCTACTTTACACACATGTGTTGTTTCATGGAAGGGTAAGATTTAGGTTGAGTAGAGGCTTTTGTGTTATCAGCAAGGACTTGCTATTAGGTATATCAAGACCTTAGATCCACATTTTTTATAATAATGGTCATGTTTATATTTCAATGATAGAAAGATTAAACCATCATTGTTGTATATGTATCTTTTGGTTGAATAGTAATATGATCATAGTGAATTTTGGGTATCTTTATTTTACAATATTTGATGATAAAAAATAGGTAAATAAGATTCCTTCCAAATAAATCTTAGGTAATAATTTATTTATTATGACCTCAACACGAGATAACTCGTGTCGCTATGATGAGTTTCATCGAGTTGGGTTGTGATATAATTTTTGGTATCAATGGATTTGGAGAAATTAATTTATTATCATTCATAGAATTGATTAGTTTAAGATTAATTTTCTTTTTACCTCCACTTTCATTTAAGTTATATTAAGGTATTACACGTGCATGTCAAGTGAAAAATTTGAGTAATTACGAATCACCAAGATTAGGATGTGATAGAAGGACAAAGTTCTAATCAAGTTGGGGCAATACAAAGTACATTGGGAGCTCTTCAGTCAGATTCAATGACTCTGTTTGCTAGTTTGGTGGCTCAATTGATGTGTGATGATCAGAGCAGAAAGTCTACTTCAAGAGTAGAGGAGGGACATAGACATTTGCATTTATCTTTGAGATTTAAACCGCATCTTTTCAAGGTAGCAGTGGAGCCTTAAGTAGCTAAGGATTGACTACTAAGGCTAAGGAAATCTTTTGATAGCATGCAATGTCCAAAGAATCGTAAGGTGCCACTTGCAATGTTTTTACTTGATAGTGAAGCTGAGCGTTGGTGGTTAGGTTAAAAGAGGGAAAAGTTTCAAGGTAAGATGCATGCTGAGATTAATTGGGAGCAATTTACTGATTCATTTAAAGATTAGTTTGTATCTTCATCAACCAGACAGCAGATGCAGTAATCCTTTTTAAGATTGGTTCAAGGGAATAAGACGGTAATGCAGTATGAAGATGAGTTCACTGCATTGACAAAATATGTTCCATAATTAGTCAGTACTCCAGAGGTGCTATAGATTTTTCAGATGACTCAAAGATAACTTAAGACATCTACTTGTTTCATTCAGAATCAAAGATTTCACCGAGTAAGTGAAGAGGGCAAGATTAATAGAAAATGATTTGATGTCTACTAAGCAGCATATAGATGTGAGCTGAAAAGATTTGGAGGGTCATTTAGAATTGTTGACAGTGGGAAAAAAAGTTGATTTGAGTTGTATGTCACTAGAAAAGGTTCTACAGCTTCTACGAACAAAGGTCATCCATCTTGGTGAGTAGTACTACAGTTTGTACTTCATGTAGAAGGAGACATCACGATCAATATTTACTTATTTTCTAGGTAATATTTTCAACCTGAGCACAAGATACAACACACTAGTGTCCTCAGAATGTGTTTGATAGTAGACCAAATACTCGAGCATAACAGAAGATTGATTGATAAAAAGGCAGTCCCATTAAAAGCATTCAGTGAAGGACATCTAGTAGGGAGGAGAGAGATTCTCTATAAGGCAGACAGGACAGAGTCAGAGACAGTATGTTACTCCTATTGCTACAACTCCACATTATCCTAGAGTTTACAGTTTAACTCAGCAGGAGGCTAAAGATGCATTCGATGTTGTGACAAGTACAACTTTCATTTTTGCATAGCCTTGTAAAATTTTAATTGATTATGAATCAAGTCATTCATTTATATCTGAGAAATTTCTTACTTGCTTAAGCATCCTATCTATTGCTTTAGTTTCTAATATTCTTTTGTTCTTTTACCCACTGAACATTATTTGATAGTCAACCAAGTTTGTATCTGTGATATTGAGATTTTGAACAAGAAGTTGAAGTCTAAGTTAATTGTATTACATTTGGCTGAGTTTGATGCTACCTTGGGTATAGATTGGTTGAATAGATATGGAGCCTCTATTGATTGTAGTCGGAGAAGGGTGGCTTTATGTGTTGGCCATGAAACATTTTATTTCTAGGGTATCAAAGGTGTCCTCTCATCATTGATATCGACTCTACAGGTTGATAAATTATGGAGGAGATATAATATATTTTTGCTTATGTGAAAGATGAGAGTAAATATAATATAAGTAAAGCGACTGTAACTATTGAGGAGGTTCTTGGGTAAGGGAGTTTCTAGATGTTTTTCCAGAAGACATAGTGAGTGTACCACCGGAGAGAGAAGTTATGTAATGTATTGAGGTTGCACTGGGTACATCTATTGCAAAAGCTCCTTATAGAATGACACATAAAGAACTGCATAAGTTGAAAATACAGTTGTAGGAGCTGTTCGATAGGGTGCACCTATGTTCTTTGTTCGAAAGAATGATACGATGCCAGGAGCTGTTCGATAGGGTTTTATCAGACCCTGTGTATCTCCTTGGGGTTCACCTATGTTCTTTGTTCGAAAGAATGATACGATGCGTATGTGCATTTGAGTATAGAGAATTGAATAAAGTGACCATCAAGAACAATTATCCATTGCCAGGATTGATGATTTGTTTGATCGGCTTAAATGTGCATCTATGTTTTTGAAGATAGATTTGAGATTTGGGTATAATCATTTGAGGGTGAAGGAGGAAGATGTAGTGAAGACAACTTTTAGTATTCATTATGGCCACTATGATTTCTTAGTCATTCATTTTATTATGACTTATGTCAGTACTATATTCATGGACCTAATGAATCGTGTCTTCAAAGCATATCTAGATCAATTTGTCATTGTCTATATTAATGACATATTGGTGTATTCCAAGTCTGAAGATCATGCAGTTCATTTGAGATTGGTGTTAGAAATATTAAGACGACTGTTGAGATTTGTAACTAATGTATGGTCCTTTTTGTAAATAGATAAAGTCTAAGGTTTTATTTGTAAATGTGACAAAAGGCTCTATATAAGCTCATCATCAATGAAATGGTGGGGTTTTTTTTTTGAAACAACTTTCTATTTGGTATCAGGGCCAACCCTAGGACGGTTAAGTTACGTGAATAGGGAAGAAGGTGGGACGGAAATTTCGGTAGGACTTTTGAGCTGTGATTAGCTTCGACAGGACTTCTGAGCTGTGATTAGCTTTGGCGTCCTTCTGCGCTGCGATCGGTCCTTCTATGCTGCGATCCTGTAGTGTGCGAGCAGGGAGCTTCGACAGGCCTTCTACTTGCGATCAGCTTCAGTGATATTTATGAGTTGCGAACCCATTGCGAAAACTGCAGTTACATAGTGGAGTATTTGGTAGTTAGGAAGGCACAAAAAGGATTGCGACTAGGGAAGAGAAGTTTTCGAACGTGGTTGTGGTTCGAATAGGGAGAAGATTGAGCAATAGAGAATTTGGGTGCAGAGATCAGCGAAGAGGCTTCGATTGGTTGGATTTTCATGTGATTCCGAACAGGAAGATTGGGGGAAGAGTAGTGTGTGGCTCGATCTGCGTTTACGAACAAGAGAAACGAACAATTGGAAATATCACAAGGAATGATCGGATGGGCTTGATTCAGCGTGCTAACAGGGAGGAAAGGTGCAGCTTCGTGTGGAGTAAGGCAAAGCGGATTGTACGAACTTGCAGGAAGGAAGTTGTGTGTGATTTGTGTGATATAGACTTGATCCTTGTGATTGAAAATGCCCGGAGGTGGAGATTGCGTTGAAAGTAAGGCATTGAAACTTCTAGGGAAGATTGATCCCGAAGTTCTAAAAGTCTTAGTTGGGCTCAAACAAGGAGCTAATCCCTCGAGAAGAACCGCAACTTCAACAGATGCTTCGACGCAGGAGGAGAGTCGCATGATGCTACACTCTAACCCGAGTGATTTTCTGGGTGCATGATCAACATTGACTGCTGCGAGCTCATGTACTTTAGGTGTCCAGGGGGAGACTCGCAAGTGCTACAACTGTGGTGAAGTTAGTCATCTGTGTAGGGTCTGTCCTAAGCCTCCCAAAAAGAGAGAGAGAGGAGAACGTGGACAAGGTGGAGGCTGTGGTCGTGATCATGGGGGTTGTAAAGGTGGAAGAGGGCTACCGATCATCTTTGATGATAGCAGAGGACGAGGGAGAGAAAGGTATGATCTTTAATAGTGAGTATAATGAATGTTTGGAGCTGTCGAAGAGGAAGCAGAAAGTTGCAAAAGATGGAGCTGAGAATGTTTCAAATCCATTAACACCAACAGGTAACATTACCACTTATACTCGCTTCAGCAAAGGTACTGGTGGCACCCTTGCTCATGCCTCTATTTCTACCATAGAATCATCAGAATGGATCATAGATTCTGGTGCTTTTCGTCACGTGGCAGGTACTGCTGAAGATTCCCCTTCACCCACTCATTTAGCAGTACCAGAGAGTATACAGAATGTTGATGGTACAACACAGCCTATAGTTGATAAGAGCACAGTGAGATATACCAATTATATGATTTTGTCCAATATTTTGCATGTTCGTTTTTTTTCTTGAAACCTCTTATCTATTAATATTATTATTCTCCAATTAAAATGCTTGTTAATCTGGTGCTTTTCGTCACGTGACAGGTACTGCTGAAGATTTCTCTTCACCCACTCATTTAGCAGTACCAGAGAGTATAAAGAATGTTGATGGTACAACACAACCTATAGTTGATAAGAGTACAGCAAGATACACCAATTATATGATTTTGTCCAATATTTTGCATGT